ACAACTAGAGAAATATTTACTAAATTACTTAATATAAATGTAATGAAGCAAATGAAAAGGTTTAACACAGTACAAGGAAAATATATCATTAGAAAAACAGCAATTGTGCAAAAATATTAGTAAATTATTACTTGTTTTCTTTACTTAAAGATTAAATGTTATATAAATGATGCTATCAGCCCTATGCTACTAGGTAGAAAAGAAAGATTAATATGGCCATCTAGAGGACAAAAGAATAAAACGAAAACATGACACATTGGCTTATGTTTTCAAACTTCAAAATAATGCATTTTGAGAATATTTACATCCTGTAAACCTGAAATCAAATATAAAATATTAGTCAGTTATTAACACATGTTTTTCCATTGGCAATAGGCAAATTTTAGGTTATGATTGAGTTTTCATAATTTGCAATTAGAAAACCAAGTAATGTATCAAATAATAATTGGGCTTAACCTCATTTGCTCAGAGAGCAAGATTCTGTTTATTATCTATTTTATTACAAACTTCTGGGCATGCTTTATTGTTGGGTTTGTTTTTTGTTTTTTTAACAAATAAGGAGAGTTGTCAAGAAAGAAAATAACTAAAAAGAAATGTCCAAGGTACAGGAAGAAACAGTTATGGCTCCCTTCTTTAAAAAGAAAAGTATAACATGCTGCAGAAAAAACGACAGAACTCCAGATTAATACCAAAAAGAAAACCAGATAACTACTTCTAAAAATGGAAAACCATGGTATTTTTTAAATCAGCTCATGCTGTCTTTGATCTGGTGCGGAATTTTTACTGATGTCAATAGGAACTATACATTCTAATGTTTGGTAAATATGACCATAACGTCTAGGATCTAAACATGGGGAAAAAATAAATAAATTTATGAAAAATTAAGAACATGGGGAAAAATATATTAATAAGTACTAAAACTATTTATTTTACGACACTCTCCCTTTTTATACATAGACGTTTTTGCCTAAATAATTTTTAAAAATCTCTTATTTTTCTTTACATTTTGTGTAAACTATCCACTGACAAAAAATCTCAGGATTGTTATGATGCCTCAAGTGTTAAGGCTTGATATTAAAATTTCAAGAAACAGCAAAACGTGGTATTGTAAAATTTACAATGAAGCAGCTAAAATATTCCTTGATGTTCTTCATTATTAATCTGAGATTAGCAAATTGTTTCTCTAAACATGTATGAACTAGCTGGCTACGATCTCCAGCTTGTGTCTATGGATTGCAGGTTTGCTTTATCAGCTGCCCACTTTCTCTGTCACTAAAGTTCTAGGATGTGCGGCTTGCCTTCCAGGGCAAATAAAAAGCAACCAGGCACACTCTTCCTTATCTTTTCCTGTATTCAAAGCAAATGTGTATGAAAAAAATTATTAATGTGGAGCTTTGCCATTATATTTGAAATGGTTTTGGGAGAACTAAAAAGTATCAACAAATTATATATTGTAGTGTACTAGAACAGTATAAAGAATATTATGCTAGTTTTTTACTGCCTTGAATATTATTATTGCACAGCATCTTGGAGACTAACAACAGATCATTATAAAATATGGGCCTGATTCTGCAACTACTTTACACACAGGTGTACCAAGACTGCAGGTAGATTTCCTGGAACTCCTAATAGACTGGGATTAAATGTCCGCTTACATACAACAGCTAAAGCAAAATAACCAGTTGAAAAATGATAACTATTATAGCGACTACTGTAAAACTTGTTGTTGTAAATAAAATTAAAGAATATATTTAAAAGAATGAGAGACACAAAAAAGAGTTTTTCCAAACTTTGAACACCCTCCCAATAAATTACATGTATAACTATTTAAAAGGTTAGTTTAACACTTAAATTTATGACATTTAAAAGTTACACATTATACCTCTCCTGCCCCTTTGTGTGTGTTTGTTTGAATGGAGACAGGATCTAGAAGTGTGGGCATTGATGGCATTTTCAACAGGACACAGGAAACAAATGGCTGACAAACTCTTAGCTGCTGCACTTTGATTCTCCTACCACAGACTGCAACCATGCTCAAAATTTTAACAGGAGAAAAAGGTAGCTTGCATGAGCTGCAGCAGTTTTGAGGCAGAGGATAAAAGAAGATGATTTTAAGATGGAATTTAATCTGCCTATTGACATAAGAGAAATTTGACAGCTCTGAAAGACTGAGGCTCAAGAGTAGAGAAGGGAAGATGGAAGAAGAAATTCAGGAGACAGCTTACAAAACAAATACTAGCAATTTTGAGATGGGAGGAAGAGGAGTAAATGTATGAAGAAGTAGCCTCCACTAGTTAGGAGACAAGCAAACACTGCTGGGGCTATAATAGATTCTGCATCTCTTATCTGTTCTTATTTCTCAGTACCAACATCTCCTTTTCTCAACCCATCTAGCATCTCTTAACCTTCTCCCTGAAATGGTGCCAGATTAAGCTGGCTCCCCACAAAACTCATAGAAAGGTGGCAGAGAAGAAAGTGTAGATGCTGCTGTTGACAAGTATAAATAGATAAAGGAACTGAAACAGAAAATATTTGGTATACCCTCTGCCCTTATTCCTATAAGCCTTTCTCCATGCAAGTGCCTCTTAAGTAGCCAGTACCCATCACTTTCCCATTTTCATCTGTATTGTTGGAACTCAGGCTCACCTATCTCCTAAAGTCCAATTTCAAAGACGAAAAGGCACTAAGGAGTTTTGATGACAACAAGTCTGATGAAAACGAGTCAGTCTTTAAGATGGCACTCTGCCCTGCCTTCTGCCTGAACAAGAAAAGAGAATTAACTTACTCTGTTTCAGGCTTCCAATACATGTCATCCATTTTGTCTCTGTGATAGAAATCATCAGTGATTGCATAACTAGTGCCTGTTTTCCAAACCAAAATGTGGGCGAGATCATAAAAACAAAATCCTTAATTTAAGAGATAAACAACCTTTTCAATAGGGAAAAGAGACAAATTAGGCTTTCAAACCAGTCAGAGAATCACATGAGATTTCCAAACTTTCTACATAGTTAAGAGCTGATACTAACCTAGTCTGAAATTAGATTCACTGTTTCAGAAAATATACTAATAATTTTATTATGTATACAATTTAAAACACGAGATTTCTTATCCAAAAAAATCTAATTAATGCACCCATGTAAAAGTCAGTACCTGATTTTTTTTTTTTTTTTTTTTTTTTTACCTGCATCTCAAACAAAACTCCCTTCTTCTTGCTTGTTAATAAATATAAATAAAGTTTTGCACCTTCAGCTATTTTTAAGGAGTAAATGGTGCTTGCGTGCCATCTAGGTCAACTGAAAAGAGGCACTTAGTAGAGATGCACCGATACATCATTTCGGGTTCAGATCTGTACTGATATAAAAAAAAACTGGCTGCATCGGAAATCGACTCCATGGGGCTGATAATTTGGTCAATAAATGTCCCTGCATGCACGCAGTCGCAGCATGCAGGCAACAAGGAGCACAACCCAGCAGTGTGGAGAGCTGCCTCCAGCTGGTAAGTCCATTGTGGTGGAAGGGCAAAGGGGAGGGAAGAGGCAGATCAACCCTCCCCCCCAATACTGAGGAAGGGGGAAGGGGCAGGGGCAGACACTGCCCAGTCAAGTTAGGGCGGGGCATGAGACAGACCCACAGCTTGTTGGGGAAGATGGGGTGGTTCCCGCCACTGCTTGCACCCCGGGAGGGCACAGGTGGCGGGGGGGTCGTGTACCCCCAGGATCTGCATGGGGCAGGGCAGGGGGGCTGCAGCTGCAGGCTGGAGCTGGGGCTGCACCAGGCTCTTCTTGCCAAGGGCTGGGCTCAGGGCAGGGGCTACAGAGGGGGCTACAGCCACCCCAAATTTTGTCGTAGCTCCCTCCCAGCGCTGCAACTGCACACCCAGCACAACTCTGGCTCAATCCCCGCCTCCCCCATGTGCCGGGAAGAGCCAGGGCTGTGTCAGGCATGTGGCAGTGGCACTGGGAGGGAGCTACAGTGAAATTTGGGGTGGTTGCAGCCCCTGCCCCAAGCCCAGCCTCTGGCAGGAAGAGCCCGGCACAGCCCCAGCTCTAGCCTGCGGCTGCAGCCTGCCCATCCACTCCGCACAGATCTGGGTGGGACATGCCCCCGTGCCCTCCCAGGGTACAAGCAGCAGTGAGAGCCACCCCCCCACCAAACAAGCCGCAGGTCCACCCCACCCCATGCTACGCTCCACCCAGGCACCGCTTGTCCTTGCCCCTGTTCCCTCCCTCACTGCAGGGGGCATTGATATGCCCCCTCATGCCCCTTCCCTCCCACAAAGGACTTACCAGCTGAAGGCAGCTCTCCACACTGTATCAGAAACTGGATCAGTATCAGCTGAAATGGCTCCTTAAAAATCAGATACTGGTATCAGCAAAAACAAATCTCTATCGGTATGTCCCTAGCACCTAGTTATTGCCATGACGCACTGAGGATATGTCGCAAGAAAAGTAGGACTGATTTTCAAAGAAAAGTAACCTTCAATGCCATGACAGATTTTTATTAATAAAAAATTAACTTTTCTGGCCTTTCTTTTTGAAACAAGAAAGAGGAGATATTCCTGTAATTTACATAGTAAAAACAGAACAGAACAACTTTACTGAATAATAAAACCAACTTCAGAGTTATGGCAGCCAACAAGTGCATATTATATACAGAATCCAGCAATGCCTTATACTTCTGCATTTACACTACCTTAAAATTCATCAGGATTTCCCACAAATACCACAAAAACAACTTAAAGGCAGTTCTTCAAATAAGTTATTGCTGATAAAGTTGCACAATATTCTTTCCTCCCATATTAAGTTCCATATGCAGTACTTCCATGAAGGACAAGAACATACATTTCCATCTGTTTTTGTAGTGCATTCAGATAAAACAAATATTTAGCAGACACTAGCAGACAATGACTATTTCTAAATAAGAGTATTTAAATGCAGTATTCTGCACATTATAACTTGAAAATGAGGGATGAAGACAGAACTTTTGTAAACTATACCTTACCTTCATCTATTGAAGCTTCACTACTGTAACCATCATACTCTGCAGACAGAGGGCTATATTTTTGTCTGGTTTCCCAAAGGTAATTTTTCTGCTGCCTGCTATCTACCACTGTTGGTCTGGAACTGTGTGTTCTGGACAAGGCTTCATGGTATTTACCCAGTGCCTCATCTTCACTTTCAGAAGATGAGCCATGCTGGTCTTTATTCATGTACGAGTTGTCTGTTTGGAGAAAACAAAAAAGTAGATGATAGACTGTAGCTCAAGAGGAAGCGCAATAAATTAATCAATAAACAAATATTTCAAAAGGTTATAGAAACTTTAGACAAAAGCATAAAATATATTAACAAAATCGTGTTATACATGTGCCAGACTAAGGACCGTGTTGCACCTTACACCGTGAGCCACACAAAAGTTAATCAGTGTTAGTGCTAGATCAGTCACGCTGCAGGCCAGCAGGGGCCTGGAACACTGAAAGGTAAGTGCCTCACCTCCCATTCCTACCTGTCCCCTGCTCCCTGAGGCTGCCTGGGTTTCCCCTTGACCTCAGGGCATTACTTACTGATGGCTGCCTGTGCTGTCTGTCCCAAGGAAGCAGGCAAGGAAGGTTTAAACTGCTTGCCCAGCCTCTGCTGTTGCTGGGCTGCTGCTCTTCTGACTCAGAGCAGCAGCAGGAGCAGGCAGGCAGTTTAGCCCTTCCCTGCCTGCTCCTAGGGAGACACAGCATGGGCAACCACCATCCACTGGGAGATGGGGGAGGCAGTGAGCAGAGATATGGGGTACTGGGAAGGGTGATGGGGGGTAGTGGACCTGATCTGGGCCACCAGCAAAGGGGAATGGGAGGGGTGTTACTAGGGTTCGAATTATGGGGCGGGTGATCCTCCCCCGCAACACATAAGAGATAAGAGCCCCCTGTAAGATCTGAAAATCAGAACCTGAAGGCAGGTCTTCAATTTTATTAGGGCATCGTGATAAGCAGTCCTGGTTTTTTTTGTTTTTTTTTTTGCAGTCCCTCCACAAGAGTCAAAGTATAATTCGAACTCTGGTGTTTACACTAAGATGTAACCCAGTGTACCTGCCGCTTTGTGTTACGTGAGCTGCGTAGCACAGATCAGAGATAATCCTGTCTTGGAGTGGTGTAGCTTTGAGCTGCATAACAAGTACTTAAAACCAGTGTCAGGTATTAACATGCAGACAATCCAGGGGTTAAGAGCATCAGGAGTCGCCCAAAATTACTGTGCAACAAGGCCCTAAATTTGTAATAGCTCATAGGAATTTTTGTTATTTTTTGGTAAATGCAAAATGATTGTACATCTCTAGACAAGAAAGAATAGGAAATCTAATTTTTACCAAGAAGCAGACATCCAACTTTTTAAATCAATTCTTAATTAAAAAATAAAAAGCTCAACAGACTTTATGTAATTAGAAAGCACACTGCAATGTCATATTTTGAATTACAGACTGCTATCTAAGTCAGCTCCCAATTTTACAAGTGATTTATATCATAGTATTAAGTGTAAATAAAATTCTCGAGTCAAAAGGAAAATCTATGACATGATTACTTTAAGCTTTGCAGGTTAACACCACCAAATAATCCAGATAACTGGGGTGGGGGGATGGAATACAGCCTTATTATTTCAATTAATTTGTTTTTTAAATATAAAATAATCTATTCAGAGTTTAAAACAGGTATTTACAAACACACATACATACATATAAGAAGAGATGTGAAGCTTGTAGGAAAGCATTGATTAAAATTAAAATTATAAATAGATATATAGGACTTTAGTTAATTGACAATGATTGATCCTCATCCAATTTCTGCCATTAGAAAACAGGGTCTCCCACCAGGCACCAAGACAATATAACAGTTTATATTCTTGTTTTCTGTTTTTCACCCAGTCTTTAAACCTGAAATCTTCTCCTTGATGGCTAACACTTTCCATATTGTTCTCTTTTAAATGTTATACTTTCTGAAAAAATGAACAAATGTTCAGATTTTTTTTTAGCCTGAGGGCAGTGACAAATGAAGTTTATTTTCCTACTAAATTTCAACTTTCAAACTACAGCCATTTAGTTTTAGGGATATATTTTAACAGACTCTCACTTGAGAGAGTGCAAACTATATACAACAGAAAAAACGTTATTTTGATTTTAAAAAGTCACACCACAATAGAGCGATTCCTTTTCATTGGGCTCAGAGCAAAATTATACCCAGTACGCAAGAGAGCAAAATTACCCATTTTCCAAGGGCTGGGAAAAGACTCTTGTAGGCTGAGGCCTGATGCAACATATAGTATACAAAAGAATTAAGAGAGAAATCTGGCCAAATCTGTATGGTATGCAGAAACTGAGGCAAAGGAATTCTGTGACTCAGAGGATCTACGGAGAATAAAGAAGGGCAGCAGAATCACTGGAATGTAACTGTGCTGAACTTCATTAGGGTGCAGACAGAAGTGCAGCTCCCTGCTGTGACTGAGAAGGCTTTGCAGGAGGCATTCTGAGTCACCATGATTGCCCTGAGCAAACAGAAGTTCATTGTTGGTTGGCGGGGGGGG